GTATTTACTTATAGCTTGCAATTGGTGATGTTTGACTTTCTTCTAATGCCTTCTGCTAATTTTCTGATGATGCAAGACGCCTATTTAACTAACTTGTGCTCATGTGAGTAATTGCTGAAGATGGGGAGTTAAATTCTAAATCATTGTAATCCAAAAGCCACTGAAGCTGTAAGAGTTCTTGATGTTTAGCTTTGGAATCTCTGGACAAACATGAAAATCCAATATCGAAACGTTGTGGAACGATTTGAGAAAATTATACGATAAAAGAACCGAGTCGGATCCCAAATTTTTATTTAACAAAATGGCATTCGAAATTTATAAGTTGCTTGGTGAAGGAAAAGCTGTTGCAGCGTCCACAATACGAATTTTACCTACGAAGAACAACCCCGCGGAAAAAGACCATCGAACGTTGGATTGACGAAGAAAAGGAAAATGTAAACTACTTAGATGGAGACGATGAAAATAAAGAAATAGATAATAATAGTGATGGTAAAGAGGATAATGAAATTTAAAGTTGCACCAGAGTGACCAAAGAATAGGTTATACTCACAAATGGCTTTGGGTCCGAGTATTTTCCTCCCTACCATGCAATTACTCTGGTGCATTTATTATTATTTATATTTTCAAAAGCGATCGCATGCTATAATAAAGATATTAAATTGTGCTTACAAAAATTGAATTCTGTTTTGTAATTTTTACTCGGTTGCAATTGTGTCAAAGTGGCGAAATATAATCAACGCTCAACGAATGCGCTCGAGCAGTCTTTATCAATAAGGAACGAATTTCGTTGACAATCAGTGGAGGCGTTTTCGGGAGCTTTATTTTTCTTACGTTTCTTCAAGGTTTTTTTTCTTTCTTGGTTTATCATGTGTTGGTGTTAATGCTCGTTTAGTAGTTATAATTTTTCGTTCCTCTTGGTAAATTTCATAAGTAATTTTTTCCTTATTTAGATGTTCTTGGAGAGTTTGGGTATCATTGATTTTAAAAACATAGGGAGCAATTTTCTCTCCTTGAGCTTTCTTTAGAATGCTTCTAATTGTGCTGTAATTTTTGGGTTCCATGGTCGATCTAATGTTTTTATATATAGAGGTAACCCTATTACTATATTACTCCTGTTATGGTTTATATTTCTCACCTTCTGGTATGATAAAGTGAGCATTAAAATTAACAAGTCCATCAGTTATGAATGAGCACCATTATTAGTTTCAAAATGTTATTAGTCAAATTAGTTAACTTTCAGTCACATTTATGTCACATAACAGAATGTTCACTTTGTCTGGTTTTGTTGCAGTCTGCCCCATATTTGCAAGGATTGTAAGAAAGATTTTGACAATAATATTCTTCCTTGATGCGAAAAATGTGGTAGAGTAAAAAGAAATAGAATTAGTTGCTTTTGTAGATTAGTAGAAGACCAAGATACTGAACCAGTTTCTGAGGAAACCATAATTGCTCAAGCTTACATTCTCGATTGGAAAGCAAAATCAAGGAACTGGAAAAAGAATTAACAGCTGCTAAAGTAGAAATCAACACTCACCTCGAAGCCTTACAAGTCTCCGAAGGGTGGAGTAAAGTGAAAGTAGACAGAATTAAAGAATTAGAGACTGAAGTTGTTGTTAAGTTAAAGGAAGAAAATAAACGATTGAAAGAGCAACAAAATGGTCATTTAACTGCTCAAATAGAGGTCAAAGAAGACCTTGAGCGAAAACAAAAAAGTAATTAAAAGAAAATTGAGGAAATTCATTCCAACATCCAGTCATTAGTCATTAAAAAAATTTCTTCGAGCTCGATGCATCAAGTGACGTCAGATGTTCACTCTATATGCCCCATATACACAATACGACGCTTATTCTCCGCGAAAACCAAACGGGAATAACAGGTAGTTAGCTTTGACCTATTACGATATTGTTTGCCTCTTATCTTTCTATGACAATGAAAACCACATAGCTACAATGCCTTCTTGGCTTCTCTCTTCCAAATATCTCATCCCCTACAGTAATAACAAGAGACGCGTTTTTGTTTATTCCATTATCCAATCAGGAGTGAATTAGTTTCTATAAATGCTTGAGAAAGCAACTATACCAGCTATATTAGCGACTCGATTGCTGCCTTGTAAAACGAACATGATTTTATTGTTTAAATAAATCTGCACGTTGAATATAATTCAACAAAGTATTAGGAGTGTATTGTGACGTCGGAAGAAATTACAAATTCTACGTATTTGAAGTGATGTTAGTTTATCGATTATATAAACACGATATTTTTTTTAGATTAAGTAACGTAATGGAGATATATTAATATAGTCGGACAAATTTTTAAGACAGGTAAAATAAAATACATTTAGATAAAATTAAGAAGTCTAATTAATTACAACTTTTACGTTCTAAACATAAGACTGTTTTTGTAAAATAAAATTAATTTAAAAGTTTTCGTAAGGGCATAGTAAATTTGGAGAATCTCTTAGAGAAAGATACTTGGCCGTTTGAACGTTGATGATCATCATCGCATGTCTTGTATGTCTTCTGTTTCGGGAGGAAGAGCCGAGTTACAATGATGTGAGTCACAAAGTTACTAACCATTAATATTGTGTGCAACGTTTCCCCATTTTTGACATGCTCCTCAATTAATCTTTGTCTTTTAGCTGCTTGCCCTCCCGCGTGTTCACTCGACAATATCCTCTCTTCTAATTCTCTCCAGATTCTTAACATTGGTCAAATCCCTAGGACGTTGATACGTACTAATTTCTATGTTCGACATAAACAGTAAAGTCCGCTCCCCATGTCTTTCAATTCTTGGCAGCTCCTCTCTCATTGAAGCCCAATTCGGTCCGAATATACATTTCCAGAGACAAATAGTGCGCATCAACTCTGATAGTCCTTTCAATACTCAAAATCTCAGCGTACATGCTCAAATAATTGACGACATCTTCAATTTCCACTTATCGTGTCCGTGTCCGCGCGCGTGGAGTGTTGTAATCTAATGTCTCCTTAACGTAAAAGAGCATGTATCTACAAACAAACCACATTTAGTAACAGAGTCGAGCATAAACAACACAAATCATTTAGCGAGACATAGTACTCACGCCTCAGTAGTAAGATTTAACACATCTTCCAAAGTTAAAGTCGTAACAACCGAGTCGTCAAATTCGTACCACTGAGTTTGACAACATTGTTATAAAAAAGATTCAAACAATACTTGGTAAGCCAACCAAAACAAACCTTATTCGCAGTTCTGGTATATGTCTTGTAATGTCCAGATTGATAAGTTCCCTCGTGAGTAACAACAGCGAATAAGTTGTATTTGAATTCCGGCAAACAGTCAAGTGGCTTCCCTTGTTTTAAACTTTCCTTCCCCCAACTGGTGTATTCCCTCATATCAAGCTCTTCAGCGAATGATACTGGTGTCTCATTCTTCTGCGTCTTACCTGCTGATCTTTGAAACCGCTCGAGAACAAGGCTTAAAACTGGTGGCAGTTGACGGATTGTGAATTGCGTTGTTGCAGTTTCTCGTGCGTTGCAAAAATCACATTTGTAGTCATCTATACGTTCAGCAGCTGTAAATCTACGGATAGAACAATAGTTCGTTAATCGGCGTGGGTTCCTATCCAGCGAATATTGGTTTATTTATTTCACTTACTTTCTCAGGCAATCTACAAGAGGTTCGGCTTTTTCACTAGATTTTTTTCTCGATCTCCCTCGCTTTGGCACTTGTGGTAAGTGTAGTTGAACAAATTGCATGGGTTCAGGTTTTCGATTGGCATTTCCGCATGTACATTCAACAACATTCTCAAACCATCCTCCGAAAGCTTTGTGAACAACACAATGGCATTCAAATTCGCTGCGTTCTGTAGAGAGCGGAGGAGGTACAGTCAATAAAATGACGGCGTTTCTTGTGCTATATGAATTCAACAGATATAAGAAATAGCATGCCTGGCGAGTGTTTATGTATTACATCAATAAGTGCAGTAAATAATTCGTGCGCGTCATGTTCGGAATATCCGGTTACTTCCAATCCGGCCGAATTCCGTAAGTTCTGCCACATTACGTGAAGAAAGCTACAAGGAGCATAGGGCTCTATACTACCAGAGACCATCTAAGCAGGACAGCATCATTAGTGACTATCGAATGCAGCATCGCAAAATCAACAACCAAGATTGTCTCCAAACCATACCTCTTGAAAGAGGATATCCAACTGACAGCAAAGACAGTGGCTCCCAATCTCACATAAATGTCGGTTATGCTTGTCAGCGAGAAAATAAGCACGAACTATCGGATTATTTATGAGCGCTTGCAAAACGGCATTCATATAACAAGTAGAGCCTATGTTATACAATCCACGAATTCCTGAATGACAAAACCACAAATATGTAAGATACATGATTAAATTTCGCATATCAATTCACAGAGAGATCGACAATCAAAATTTAACCATACCCGCACAAGGATGATGTTCGGTCCGAGCCTTTAGTTGAGCGATTTCACTTTCGCTTGGCTGCCACTCTTCAAATCTTGCTCTCTTTGCGCACGGTTCTACCGAATAACTAGCAAATTCAGAACCAATTATTTAAAAACAGGTCAAATGCTTGCTTGGTGTACCTTTTGCGTTGGCTTCGTCTTCCTGAGCGTGCGTGTCTTCCAACTCGCGAATATACAAAAACTCGGCATCGTATATGTAGTCTTTACACTGCGAGCAGTACACAAACAGCCTCTCCACGTCAACAGCTACAAACCGACCATTACGGTTGCAATATATGATCAACTAAGCAAACTCCCATCACCTCGTGATTTTATTAAAAAAGTTGTAACATACCGAACACGTGCTCGTCAACAAGATGACCCTTCATATGTTTTGGCCAACACCCGAACCAAGAGCAATGTAAGCACCCGTGAAGACGATTTCCGAAGTCGCCACAGAGATCACATGGTGGTGGAGTCGGCGGTACTCGTTCGCTTTTCCTGTCGGTGAGCTCTATTAAAGGTGGAATGTGGTTTTTCCATCGGGAAGAAGCCTTTGCGACCACTCTGTATCGATCCAAGTAGGCACCGGGTGTCTGTTGAGTTAAGCAAACGGGAATTAACTGTATTAATGTCTTATAATTGTAACTATAAATTGAATGTGTGTGTGATTCGATTAACGTACGTCTTCTTTGTATTTCTTAATGTGACGGCATCCATGTGTCTTGTTCATTGTCTAGCTGAATGAAGTCTTTGAAATGTTATGTTTTGCTCTCTAGTTTCTCGGGACGGATTCGGATTTTAAGGAAAAAATTGACAACGCATCAGCCAATCATGTTATCTTCTCCATTGAAAATTCAGCATTAATATTATTTCCCAATACAAGTAAGGTCATCGACTATCGTTGCTTTTTATGGAAAATCAGGAGTCAATGACGTGTGAATTCAACGCTAAACGTACATAATAATAACATGATATAGGTAATTAATTAGTAGCATCTGATGCCATAAAGCGATTGTAGATAATCTCACGGTGGCATTACGATAATTATTTTATTTACTAGTTAAGCGCGTTTGTTACAGTCATATAAATACGGTAAACTCCAACTGGTAGATTACCGAATTAATCCCGTAATAGTAAAGAGCTGAATGAAGCATTCTCGTGGACGAATTAAATAGCGTTTACGCATCCATACTAAGATCGCAAGTGGAAAAGCCTGATTTAATGGTCGTTAACTGTTTTTTTTATCTGACTAAAGATAGGAGAGCCGTGCTTCGTTCAAAACTCCTACGAGTTATTAGTCAGCCGTTCCTCCATGGCTGTAGATTCTGTCTTTTTAATGTTGTGTCTAAGTTTAGCATTCAGTCCAGAACTCAGTTGTCTCAATTCCGAACCCAGACGCTCGGTCCAGAACCCCAACTGAGGTACAGTCAAACCTGTTTATACCGGACATGTATATACCGGAATCTCTTTATATCGGACAGATTCTTGTGCACCGTTCGTTTCATATGAAAATTCTTTGTTTATACCGGAAATCTCTTATAAATCTCCATATATATATACCGGATCCGGAAGAATTTTAAAGGATCGGCTAGTGCAAATTGCCAATAGAAAATTTTCTTTATACCGGAAAGAACACGTGATACGGCGTATTTACGATATGAGTTCATTATATTGTCTGTCGCTATATCTCTTGCTTTATTTTATAAAATGTTAATAAAAGACGAAAAGATCAATCTTTATCTGATAAATCA